TGTTCATGATGACAAAGCTTCAAAACCCTAATTCTCAGCTGAGCAAGTCTTTGCTGACAGATGAAGTGTTTGTCTGATCAATACGTCGCAGACACAGCGTCGTCTTGTGTTGAACTGTTGTCATTCTTTCCATTTGGCATGTGTTAAAGAGAGCAGGGTCTGACTGCCTTGAAAGAGAATAGATCCTTTGTGCGATGCACATGAGCTTCCTTGACACACAAGGTTGCTTCCAAAAACAGAGCTTCATTTGCATGTTGGAGTCTTGGGAGTAAGGTTGATGTTGGTTGCTATTGGGATAATACGTCAGGAAGCTTCCATGTCAGCGTATTCAGCATTTCCATGTCAGCGTATTCTCAGGCCGCATACTGCTGCTGTCCAGTCTTCAAGCCAAGAATCTTGAGACATTCATCTCTTCATGTCCTTGACAGATGCAAAATGATGCAAGCCTGTTGCTGCCGCCCCTCCAAAAGTCAACAAACTCAGGTTCCACTCGCCAGACCAGACCAGACCCGTTCGACGCGAGTCCTCCGTCCTCGACGGCAGACCTCGGTCGTGACCTGCGAGGCCTCAGATCTCCTCGGCTGAGCCCGGGGAAGCCTCCTATGACGGTCAGAGCGAGGTGCGGTTCGCCTTCGCTTCATCGACGACGCGACGACGACCGTTGCGTTGCGTCGCTGTTCTTCTTTGACCGCTGCGAGCGGCACCGTACAGCGGCGGAGACGGCCCCGGTGCAGGTCGGGGAGTCGAAGGGTTTTCCTCCCAGACTGGTGGAGCGTGCGTGAACCTCGATGCCTTGTTCAGTTGTTCAGGTGGAGGATTCGATCCATTTGTATGGATTCCACGGCTCACTTCCATGGGAGGGTCAGGACCCTCCAAAGATCCAATGAACTACGGGACAGAACCTAATTCTAGGGTTCCAGACAGGGCACCCCGACAGGAGGGTCCTGGAATGTGCGTTTTGTGCGTTGAAAGCCTTTGTGAAGTTCGGGTTCGGCCAGCACCGATGTGGCAGGGCAGCCAAGCCGGTGCTGCCCGTCTGGTGCACCCTCTTCCCCGTTAACCATTATGGACCTATGGACCTCTAAGAGCCTCTATAGGGCTTTCCTTCAAAGTCCATATCAAGCTCCAGATTTTCTGGTTGGTGTCCCCTCCTCAAGCTCCTAGGATTCCTAGGTCTCGATAGAATGGTCGAAGTCCAGCGCTGGCGTTTGCCTACGACGATTTGACTTGTTTGATGTCTCCAGTTTCCGTGGACGACGGACGACCTTTTTTTCCCGAAAGAAACCCAAACCGTTTATGCCGCCCCATTTTGCCCGTTTGGCCCGGGCTTCCGCGTCAAGCAGGTGTGCTGGAGGATCCCCGTTTTGGACAAGAATGAGTGTGGACCTTGGAAAGACGAGAAGTTGTTCCAGCGTCGTCTTGAGAAGCGGAAAGAAATGGACAGAGTGGTTGTTGGTTGCTTGGTCTCAGTACGGTGGGAAACAAACATTTGATATAACGTGTCACAAGTCTCTTGGGACACCAACCACTAAGAATGCTAATACACATAATTAGAATCATTTGTCATCACACACTAATTCTATTGCTGGGGTAGATGCCCAGAATCAATGAGAGACTATTGAAGCAAGTTCAATCCAATTGCTGTGTTATGCTGTGCCCGGCTGGGACGTTGTGTACCCCCAAATATATTCATGCTGTTGTGGGAGTGGCAGGTTAGGGATGTGCCGTATACCGTATACCCCTAAAACATCCCCCTGATACGGTCGTGTCCGTGTGTCCCTGCTTGTATCGGTGTCCCTCCATCTGATCGTAAGATGTAAGTAGGATGTTTCTATGGATGTTTCTATGCATGCCATTGTCAAGAATGACATATCTTGCATACCCCTTATGGGTTTGGACCGGTCGGTTCACGGATGCGGAGAAGCCAACCTAATTGATGGTCCGTCAGCCATCTGGTTCATTCTGGTTCAAGATGGTTGTGCAATAGCATAGGGAAACGCATCAAAGACCCCTCTGGTAAAAGGACACTTGTGCTAAAGCAAAGACCAAAGTCCATTGGTTGGGGGTCTCCCTTGTCCACACCCATATACATCTTCAGAATTTGGGTGCCCCTCTCTGTGTCGCCAAGACATTGCTTCACTGGGTCTTCCGTGTGACAGAACAGCGCAAAACACCTCCATGGACGGTTTTCCCAAAAAGGAAAGAACACCGGTTGGCCTTGGCCTTTGGGCCTCGTCTACCGTGGCCTGTCCGCGAGGGCGAATGGCAACTTGGAGTTCGTCGCGAAGACCGACTCCGCCTCGTTGCTGTGGGTCGCCCCAGTTGTCTCGTTCCGACGGGCCGGGCCGTCGGGTCCGGCTTGGAGTGGAAGCCCGACGGTCTCGGCGACGTCTCGTGGGTGGACGGTCTTTCGTCCGGAGTCCCGAAAAACATCCCAGGCTCTTGGGCTCTTGGCTCAGTGTTCCCGGTTGGCCCGATTTAAGCCTTTCGCGTTCCTTTGGGCGACAGAATCAAGGGATCTCGCAATATCTCGCATCTAGATTTGTGTTGAGCAATGGCAGCCATTCATGACCAACCTTCAAATAATTCTTTTGTGATCTTTGTGAAAAAAGCGAAAAACAAAAGCACATGAACATACATTGCATTTGTTAGTTTTTTTTTGGCATTTTTTCTTGGTACCACTTCTGCACTTATAACTTTTACCCGTCAGCAATATTTGACGCTCCTAGGAAAAAAAAGCGAAAACACGCGAAACATATGCGAAAATCACGGGAACAACAAAGTGAAAATATAGCGAACCAAAAGTGACAAAAGCGACAAACACAAGCTACATACATGTTTAATGTTTGTTTGTTTGCTTTACCTTTTGTTTTTTTGCTTTACAACATTGTTTTTTGGCCCCTTGTATCTATGGCTGGCGTGCCCGACTCAAATCTAGATCTTGAGTTGTAAATCTTCACGTTTCGCTCTTACCTTGTGCTTAAAAACATCCATCAAAACCTAATTTTCGGTTGATGATTCAGGTCAGGTGACAAATGTTTCCGGGGAATCTTCACATCCCCAACTCCCCGCGGAAAGATTCAAGTCTTGCTCATTGCAGAAAGGCTTGACTTGTCACTTCATCAAGTACCACCTCCTTCCTGTCCCAATGGGTTTATATATGTTTCTGGAGGTGCACATGGTGGTGTGAGCCCCGATTTCATTGCGGGGCATGAGGGTTCTTCTCCTAGAAACGAGGGCAAACCTGAAGTGCCAAAGGCAACTAGCAAATCTACAATGTATGGAATCGTTAAAAAAAAATATCTGACCCCAAGGGTAGGTAACTCTTCCAGTCCCGTGGATGGTCTGGGCACCCCCAACATGCCACTGGAACCCTGTCTATCCAACACCCCACGGATTCGCAACGGATCCTGGGCAGTACCGGACCGAGAGCGGACCCGCTCGCCGGCTGAGGCCATTTACGTTCGATGCGGTTAGGCGTGGGCATTGGGTGTCCTCACCTGGTCCTGGTCGAAGTGTCACATGTCGAAGCGTCTGAAGCACAGATGCAACGACTTCGGGCACAGCAAACGAGACATTTTGGGATCCCAGGATCCCTGATTCTTCAGCATGTCTAGACTTGGGTGCCTGCTGTGTTGGTGCTTTGTTTTAACTTAACGCCATTGAGTAGATGGCCAAGTTGCCCCAAATCCAAGCATTTTTACTCATTCTTTGGATGGCCAATGGAGATACGGATGTTCTCGACCAATCTTGGTAGCCGGTGCCACCTACTCTGCAATCACTGCAATGGGTATTTTCAGCAATTGTTGTATAGATCACACCCCCGCATGTGTAGATGAAGCTCGAAGCCAAAGCAGGACTTCAATCAACCAGGATTGCGCAGTTTTTGCAGAAGAAATTGAGCAGCTGAGCAGCAGGATCCATTCGAACGAGAGGATTTCCCATGTAGATCTCTTGAACTCTACGAGTGAGAAGAAGTCTCAATTTCCTAGAGGCACTCCCAAGGCCACCACTTCTAGTTTCACTTCTGCCTTTTATATTGGGAGGCTTCTGCGCTTTTCACGTACTTATCTAGTTGCTTTTGAGGGCAAGTACCTGTTCTTGGGTGAGTAGCATGGCTTCGAATGGCGGAGCACACGAACATGAGGTGATCCCGAACATTATCTCGACCAGCCACTGGCCACCAGTATTCCAGAGAGCGAAGAGGTCATTCACGTAGAAAGGACCGCGCATGTGATCGCATGTGGTCCTAATATATAGTGGAGCAAATGAAAGTCAAATGCCCTGTACCTTTCGTCACAGGCGAGGTGCCACCAAATGTCCCATGGAGATATTGGAGTGCTATCACATGGAAAAGAAGGCGTGGCCGCGACACTCTTCTTGGCGGCGCGCGGGCGCGACGTTTGGGAGTGATCGACGAAGGAACGGCCCAGGGTTCCTGCCCAACGACAGCAACGACCCAGCCTTTTGTGGAGGGTGGCGGTGCATGGCGGGAAGTCCATGGAGTCTTGGAGCCAAAAAGGCTGAAGGCCGTCACGATCCGTTTGGTTGGATGGAGCGCTTGTGCTCCAACCTGGAGCCCCAAAATTGGAGCGTTTTCACGTGGGGGCCATGGATTTTCTGGAGGACTCATAGGAAAGGAGTCTTGAACATGTCTTGAGATTGTTTTTCACATGGACTATGGAAGAAGGAGACGGACTCAAACATGGCGTTTGATATGGCGTTTAAGGAGCTGTTTGGGCTTCACCCTGAAAATCGAGTCTCCGAGTTCAGTGCTGCTTCGGCTTCTGTTTTCGGTTGGGTTGGAGCGGCGGCTTCTGTGTCACGTCTGGCCACGGCATGCTCTCCATACAGTAGAAAGGCCGATTTGGGCCGCCCATGAGTGTCGCTGATGGAGGGCGCTTGGGTCAATGTCCTTGAAGGGAACTCATCACCTTTGTGTTTCTTCTCTCCAAGTGGAGTGGAGCCTTCTTGCAGGCACGGCGGGAACCAGAACCTTTCTACCAAAGCAGTATAGGAACAATGATGGTCGGAGCAGTTGAACTGATGTGTTGGAGTTGTTCCGTTTGGATGCAGATGGACTATATTGGGACCACTTCGGCAGGATCACCCCACCTCACCCCACCTCTCTACTTCACCTGCCAAGGTGGGGGGCGTTAAGGCCGATGTCGCGGCCCGTCGGGGATCGAATGGCGGTCAGGATGCGATAGGCTTCGCCTGCGAAAAGGCGGGGGCCCCGCGAAACGGAGCCGGTTTCGAAGAGTGGCGAACACCGCAAGAGATTGGAGGAACACCGCAAGAACCACCGGATGGGAGACACTGTTTGCCGCTGTTTGCCGCTGTGTATATGGAATTGGTGTGGGTTTCTATGGATCAGATGTATAGAAGGTGATTGAATTTGGATTCTTATTTTGTTCGGTTCCCCGATCACCGGATGTTTATTGAAGACTTTGGGAACATGATATGTGGATTCCCTGATTTGCAGGTTTACCAAGCAACCAAGCCCCTTGGAGGTGCGTGTTTTTCAGTGGAACGAAAGCCCCAGCTGTGTTGTGCGTGTTCAAAGCCTTCAACAAAACGGATCAGTAAAACGGAGCAGTTCTGGTTCTTCTAAAAGCTCCTCCGGTGCTTTCTTTTAAACACACACCGGCGGGTCCACACCACTGCCGTTGGGTCACGAGTACGCCGGCTCGGAACCCGAAACCCCAGGCTCGGTGTTCTTCTTTGTGCAAACTGGACATGGATTTGTTTCTTCTCCCAGTTGAGAGCTATAGAGGCTCTACCACGAGGAGACTCATCTATTTCGCGGATGCATCTTCGGACCAGTGGCTGTTGAATGGCCACTGGCCATTGGCCCAAGCTTGCATGCCACCATGTCCTTTAAGGAACATGAAGGAACCCCAGTCACATGCGCTCGCCGCAGTCCACCGATCCGATCCGTGGCACCGGACCTGATCCCCCCGACACGGTCGGCGTGTGGTCACTCCGTGGGCTCGGGGGCGTGTCGCGCGTGGTCCGCACGCGCCGTTTGCCCGATGCCGTCGGACTGGCCGCCGGTCGCACCGAGTCCTGCAACTATTCCTTCCGGGTGCGGAGGCTTAGGAGGGCGTGCTTAGGAGGGCAGAGGTATCCGGGGGAGACGTGGTGCAATGCATGGGCGCGGAACGCACGGCAAAAGAGCATTGAGAATGGTGGGAAGGTCGTTCGTTTGGCGACAAAATGACTCTCCAAAGAATTAGGGCTGTCAACCGCAGCCATGTGATGCCATGTGTAAGTCTTAATTTGGTCCAAACAATTCCACCAGAACACACAGGGGCAATATCCACCTTGGTTCGACCATTCAATGTATATTTAGGACTAATTGACTTGACTTGGACTACAGTGGTTCGACGACCTATGTAGTTTTTGTATTTTTTGGACTTGCTCTCCTTTCTGTGAGCGCTTTTGCAGACTTGGGGACCATGGCAAGATTCTGTGGCTTGAACAATTACTTGGCAATTTAGTATTTGCAACAGCTTTTGGCTTTCACCAGAGTCTGGCTGTATTCATGTGTTACCATAGTTTACCGGTTTATGATTGCCAAACAGCTTGAAGTCACCGGCGAACTCCATCCCAGTCGCCCCCTCCACGACCGTTGCCCCCCTCTCAGCTCATGTGGACTGAGATTGGCGCATGAACTTGGTGAGAGGCTTTCCCCATCTTTCCCCATTTTCACCGCAGTGGTAGGCTTTTCGTGTCTCACGAAGGGTACAGCATAGGTGCTGTCAACATAGCTACTCAATCGAGGTAGAACATGGATATTTTGTTGATCCGAAGGTCTCTTTCGTGAGAGCTGGATTGAGCAAGTCACAAGTCATTCACTTGCAGTTCACATCCATGTGCAGAGGCTGTGGCTCTAGGCATGAAATGCTCGTAGATGCCGTACGTTCAACCGGCAGCCCATTGGAAGGATCAGCTGCTAAAAGAACGGTATCACTGCAGGGAAATTCAAAATATTCTTTCCATATTTTTCCAAAATTCTTTCCAATTATCTGAGATAGAATTCTTTGGGTATTTAGCTATTTATATACACAAAAAAACAAGATGGAGCCCACGAACCCGAATGCAAACACGTTCAAAAAGCTACATATGTCCAAATGACACTCTTGTAGGACACTCTTGTGGGACACTCTTGTGGGTCACTCTTGTAGGAAACTCTTGTGGGACACTCTTACGGGACACTCTTGTGGGACACTCTTGTGGGACACTCTTGTGGGACACTTTTGTGGGACACTCTTATGGGACACTCTAGTAGGAAACTCTTGTGGGACACTTTTGTAGGACACTCTTGTGGGAGAGTTCCTGTAGGACACTTTTGTAGGACACTCTTATGGGACACTCTTGTAGGACACTTTTGTGGGACACTCTTGTGGGACACTGTTGCGGGACACTCTTGTGGGACATTCTTGTGGGACACTGTTGCGGGACACTCTTGTGGGACACTCCTGTGGGACACTCATTTGGGGCACTCTTGTGGAACACTCTTGTGGAACACTCTTGTGGGACACTCTTGCAGGACACTCTTGCGGGACACTCTTGTGGGACACTCTTGTGGGACACTCTTGTGGGACACTCTTGTGGGACACTCTTGTGGGACACTCTTGTGGGATACTGTTGCGGGACACTTTTGAGGGACACTCTTATAGGACACTCTTATGGGACACTCCTGTAGGTCACTTTTATGGGACACTCTTGTGGGACACTGTTGCGGGACACTTTTGTGGGACACTTTTGAGGGACACTTTTGTGAGACACTTTTGAGGGACACTCTTGTGAGACACTTTTGCAGGACATTGTTGCGGGATACTCTTGTGGGACACTCCTGTGGGACACTCATTTCGGACACTCTCGCGGGACACTCTTGTGGGGCATTCTTGTAGGACATTCTTGTGGGACACTTTTGTGGGGCACTCTTATAGGACACTTTTGTAGGAAATCCTTGTGGGATACTCTTGTAGGACACTCTTATGGGACACTCTTGTAGGACACTGTTGTGGGACACTTTTGTAGGGCACTCTTGTGGGACACTCTTGTGGGACACTCTTATAGGACCCTTTTGTGGGACATTCTTAATTCTTATGAGACACTCTTGTGGGACATGGTTGCGGGACACTCTTGTGGGACACTTTTATGAGACACTCTTACGGGACACTTTTGTAGGACACTCTTGTGGGACACTTTTGTAGGACACTCTTGTGGGACACTCTTACGGGACACTTTTGTTGCACACTCTTGTAGGACACTCTTGTGGGACACACTTGTGGGACATTCATACGGAACACTCTTGTGGGACATTCTTGTAGGACACTTTTGTGGGACATGCGGGACACTCTTGTGGGACACTCATACGGGACACTCTTGTGGGACACTCTTGTGAGACACTCTTACGGGACACTCTTGTGGGACTTATTTGTGGGACACTCTTGTGGGACATTCATACGGGACACTCTTGTGGGACACTCTTGTAGCACACTCTTGTGGGACACTCTTCGGACACTCTTGTGGGACACTCATACGGAACACTCTTGTGGGACACTCTTGTGGGACACTCTTGTAGGACACTCTTGTAGGAGACTCTTGTGGGACACTCTTATGGGACACTCTTGTGGAATACTCTTGTAGGAAACTCTTGTGGGATACTCTTGTAGGACACTCTTGTGGGACACTCTTGTAGGACATTCTTGTGGGACACTCCTGTAGGGCACTATTCGTACGAGACTTCCTCCAAAAGTCACGCTGCGAGGCTGCAAGACGAGCGTTTCCTACGAGACTTCCTCCAAAAGTCACGTATCAAGTCTCAAAAACGAGCGTTTCGTACGAGACTTCCTCCAAAAGTCACACGTCAAGTCTCCAAAACGAGCGTTTCATACGAGACTTCCTCCAAAAGTCACATGTCAAGTCCCCAAAACGAGCGTTTCGTACGAGACTTCCTCAAAAACTCACATGTCAAAGTCTGCAAAACGAACGTTTCGCACGAGACTTCCTCCAAAAGTCCAGCGGAAACACCCATCGGAACACACACATTACGCAGCCCTGCCAAGCAATTTCGCGATTCCAGCCCCTCCAAACAACATCCGCTCACGCGCCAATCCCAATGTGACAGCGACATTCACCTCTACCACAACTCACAACCTCACGATTCCCTGCGCCTACCACGAATCTTTTCGCGTCCACACGTCTAACGCGCACAAAGTACTGCGCCTGCCACGAAATGTCACCTCCGTCCCACCTCGCAACCTCACCATTCCCTGCGCCTGCCACGAGAATCGCACTTCCACGCCTCAAAACCCACACAAAGTACTGTGCCTGCCACGAAAAGTGAGAATATCATCTCGCACGAGCTTCAACAAAATTTGCACCACACCACACGTTTAGAATGATTTCGACCCGTTCTGAGCACACTCTCATCCACCAAAATCGCCATTTCAGCTGAGACTTGTCACGAAAACAGAGCTTCGATGCCACACCCTGAAATGCAAATCCCAATGGCACGGCCACATCCAACACCCCAAAAACACGACTCTCCAAACGCTAATCCCGATGGAACTGCGCAGTAAACTGCGGATCTCTCAAACCACTGCGCCTGTGCAGCGAAATGCATCACGCTTCTTGCGCGACATGTCATTTTCATGCAAATCACAATGGAATAGCGTCGCAAACTGACACGTAACACATCCATGAAAAGTCACTTGCAAAAGCTTCCCCCAATGGCAGCGCCTTGCAGTCCTACTGCGAACGGTTGCGAACGGTTGCGAACGGTTGCGGACGGTTGCGAACATAGAAACAACGGATCGCGAACGAGACTCTACCCCTAGACCCCCAGAGTTAAACGAAAACCCTTCGCTACGCATTCGGGAATAAACAAATATATATATAATATAATATAATATTTTTAATATCTATAGATTATCGTTTGATTGGCAAATTACAATATATCTTTATGTATTTTTAATTATTTTATGAAGACTATTAAAATGGAAGATATTCTTTTTTAAAAGAAATATCACGAAAGATAGCTTAATAAGGACTACTTTGAATTTGCTTTGCGAAATAAAGGGATTGCTTTGAGAATTTATTCGGGACTAAAGATTGGTAGATTAATGTCTAACACCCCCCTTCCCCCCTTCCACTCCCCTTCCTCGTTTTTTCCCCTCGTCGTTAGCATTACTAAATTCTGGACATAAGGTGAAGTTATACACTTAACAATCACAGTAATACGACGTTGGCCATGAGGTTGCGCAATACAGCACGAACCCTGCGCAATGAGGTCGCGCAATGCATCTTCGATGCCGCGCGTACACACCCGGCAGCCTGACACAGCGCGTATTGCGTTCATAGACCATATTGCTCGACACCAACGAGCATCGATGCAACACAGCCTCTCTGCAAAGCCCTGTGAAGAAATCCCTCGCGTCGCGGAACACCATTCGACTCAGCCTTCTACCCTAGCGTGGCGAAATCTTATCGCATCGTGGAATACACCCATCATAGCGTGACGTCTATCCCTGGCAATACCGGCCGCACCCTTCCAGCACTATCCTTGCAAGGGGGTTGGTCACTGAGTCACTGCGGCTTCGACGCAATGCGTGCAGGCCTGTAATCCTGATACAGTGCGTGCAGCTGTGGGACCATAACTGGTATACATGCGAGCGTTTACGCATTGCTACTTTTACGCGCGCCTGTGTTCACCCACCTAGACACAAACGAGCGTCGACACAACGCAGCCTCTCTGCAGAGCCGTGTGGCGCAATCTAACCGCAACGGTGTTCCTCTTGAGCCTTCTTATGCCTTCTTGTGCTCTCTGGCTTTGTTGGTTTCATCCATGATTGACCAAGGGATACGTTCCTGAAACACCGGAGATAGTCCCTCACCAGAAAAGGTCCCGACAGCTACTCGGTCCGTCTCTACCTTTCGTGTTTCCCCGCTCAAATTAATTATAAATTTCTTTAATATATTTTATTCGATTAATTTGGAAAGAATATAAATATATCCTCGTTAACATTTCTATTACCAAATGGATGGACTTAGGATTTATGCTTTTTGTTGATGTATAGTAAGGTTATATTTTGTAAGGATTTTAATCTGCCGATAGTCGGACGTCTGTGGCCTCTTCATTTTGTAAAGGATTTTTATGGTTAGACATATTTTATAATTAAAATTATTGTCGATTTGGAATTCTTATTTTGGAATGGTTTAGCATTAATGATTAATACTACAATATAATCCTTTTTAATGGTTATAATAGAATATCTTTCAATTTGAGTATTTTGCAAAAGAAGAGCATGGCTAAAAATTATTTCTAATGACATTTTATTACAGAAATTTAGGTATTTTTTGTTGAACATTACATTTATGGAAATCTAATCTTTGGGATTATCATTTTGTAATGATTATACCCTTTTTTTATCCATCCAGGATATTAAGAACCTAGCCAATGGGTTAGGCATTCTGTAATTTAATGACTAAGGGTTGGTCATTTAGTAATAAAAAGAACTTGCGGGGTATGCATTCTGTAGTCCCCTATGTTGGGGAAATTGTTTTGTGGCATAGAATGATCTATCCTAAGTCGAACATGCAAATCTAAATGGGGATATAGAATATGGTATTTAGAAATATTATAATTGTTTTTTAGATTATTATTTTGGGTGGGATTTCGCGTGGTTAGGATTTTTAAATATGAAATATGGGGGAAGATATAGAAATTAATAATATATTAGATATATATATTTTTAAATAAAATATTGAATATAATAAATATATCCACCAAATAAATAGGATATTATAATAATGATTCTAAAATATTTAATTTATTCTTTAGATATTGAGATTTTATTTTGTATATATATATATATTTAAACCCACATATATATATATATCGGAAACATAATATTTATATATTCTTTTTTAGTAGCGCTATGCCGTACGCAAATCTATGCGTGCTAATCTTTTTTTAATATATTAATTTTTCGTATATGGTTTATTTAATTAACCAATTATATTACCATAATATATATGGTTTTGTAGGAGTTATGTGTCTTATTTGCAATTGCATACGCGCATTATCAAATCGATAATAATTCATCGTTAAATTACATTAAAGATTTATAAGTCCCATACTATAAAATTACGCTAGAATCGTCCCCAATAATATCCATAACAAAAATTTTTGACGTCCTTAATAAAGCATATCAAAAATTTTGTGCTTTAAAAAAGAAATGCCCGAATTGCGATAAAAATACAATAATATGTCCGGACCAAAAATAACAAATTTAAATTATATACGATATCTATGTTATAACACATCGATTTTGCTACATATTAAAAAGATCTAATAATTTAACCGGCACTAATATAATACATATGCATTTATTGCCACAAACATATTGTTTATATAAAGGAAAAAAAATATTTTTATCGAAAATTAATCTATCGAATAATATATTATTTAAATAAATCTATATAAAAAATAATTAAAATATATGTATATATTTATATTTATTTTATATATATTTAAATATATATTAATCATAATATTATTTATTAATTTTATAAATATATATATATATATTAATCAAAAATATATTTTTTGAATATATTTTAGACTATTCTTATTAGACGTTATTGTTATTTTGGATCTATTATTAAATTTCAATACATTCTAAAAAGAAAAAACACTATATATAATAATATATATATATATATAATGCTATATTTTTAAATATAAATCAATCGACCGGGAATTCGCATGGTAGCAAATATTGCCCGGGTTCATTTCCGTTGGCCACAACACATGCACCAAGGCTCTTGGGATCGACACCAGGCTTCCCAAACGCGAACCAAGTTCGCCAGTCCGTCGCAGAAGTTGGCATCACGCTCGCTGGAAGGGGCAAAGTGGGCCAGGTCAATGAGACGGACTTCCTCGCACGGCGTGGACGTGCACGGGATCGCTTCGAAGCAGATCTCCAGATCCGACTTGAGTTGTGGCAAACGAACATCCGAGTCGGGGTGGATGAAGAGGGGTTTATGGGATGAGTGGAGGCTTCTTCGGAAACATGATGAGCCACCGGAGACAAGGATGTGGAGATGAATTATCCAATGACAGCATACCAAGGAACCAGCTGTTGGTGCCTCGAGGGTGAAGTTCCAGTTTCCATGCTTTCGTCACCCTGCCGAGCCTGTTGTAAAAGCAAATCACTGACAACTTGACATTCATGACGCTCCGTTCATTCTTTTAGCGCTAGAAGACATGACTCTACTCAAGGGATCCTCGCTGTCGCTACACCAAGGGGCACAGCGGCCTCCCAGCCGCATCTCACGGGTAAAGAGGAGGCTTGCGGCCCTCAAGGTTCCACCAAAGCCTGAGTTGTTGACCCTGCTGGTGCATGAACCCTCCGGCGACCTCAAACGTTCCACTTGACTCCAAGCGAGAGCTCGTGAACTCCAAGCGACCTCTATTGGAGGATTCACTGCTCGTGTCAATGAAAGATAATGAAAGCTACATGAGTTTCCAGGTGGACAATCACATCACCAAAAGATTCCATGCCATACCTGTCCAAACCCTTATAGCGCTTGCTTCCCCTTCCCTCCCCTGTCCTGAGTCACTAGAAGCCCGTGACATGAGACCCTCCTGACTGGCTTTAATCGATGCCTATCCATGCTCAGCGGTCATTGTGAATGCTCACAACCATCCGCCCTCAGTCACCCCAACATCTTCTTCAGCTGTTGGTTCCGAGTTCCATCCAATCTTGACCCATGTTCTTCCATGTCCAAAAACAATTTCCCGTGACCTTCTCCCATCCCAACCTCTCAACTAGGAAACAAGTTGTGGAGGCTTGAAGGGCTGAATTTGACATTCAGAAGTGTGATTCTAATCTCCTGCTGCACGCCCTAGCTCAGGCAAGAAGCTGACTTGAACCGTTGAAATGCTTGATAGGTCTTTATATATAACAGGTATATATAGTTATATACCATACATCACAATATATATACATATATAAAGTATATACTTGCCTCTGCAAGCCAAAACTGTTTGACAACACTTGACCCATGAAACGATGGGGTGTGGCCAGTGTTTTGACCGCACTTGGAGAAGTGAAAGTCTCGGTGATTTGGCTTCCGACTTGGCTACCACCAGTAAGTTCTGGCCACCCAACAATGAAGCCAGGCTTGATCGCCCCTGGCCGTTGACCAATTGAAACCATCTCTCGCCAAACCCTTCAATCCTACAGCTTTCCACTCTTGGCTTTTCACACAGCTCCAGCAAATCTTGATCCAGGCACCGGCTTCCGCCGCTACACTGATGGCCTGCAGCTGCTCTAGCATGGCCCGCGCCGTGCGCACGTCGATCTCGACGGACTCGGGTGGGACGGGCGCCGCGCTGGGGTCGGGGGGGAGGGGGCCGAAGCCTGGGGGGGAGGCGAAGAAGGCAGGAAGCAGCCAGGCAGCGAACCTCAGAGCGTTGGAGACCCAGAATGCTCGTTTTTTCTGAAACAACTCACCCGGAGGCGATGGAGATGGTCTTGGGGGACCATGAAACCATAGTTAACAACTCTGTGAACTCAATTGAACTCATGAACTGTTCCTGGTTTATCCTTGCTCCATCCTTTGCCTTTTGTGAGTGATTTCGGGGTTACCGGTGGCACGTGGCGTCTAGAGTCTAGGTGATTGGTTTCCACCCATCTCTTCTCCGTGTGCTGTCTCGATGGGTCGTGGCGGCGAGCCGCGACGGCTCTCCGCCATGTGCCTCCACAATGAATTGATGCCTTTGTAAGTTCCATGATCAAGTACTTGGTTGACAAATGTATGTAGGACGCTACTAGTAGGTCGAGAACAGCACACTTGGTTGGATGACACATACTCAAATAGATTCAAATAGTAAATAAGCCAAACAGCGCAGCCTGTTCGCACATTTCATTTTTGCGTTGGCAACTCGAAATGTGGCGTAACCAATGACAAAACAATTGATGCATTGATGACTCTAAATGTCTCTAAACCACCTGCAAGTACACCCCAAACACATCAATGTACACATAACATGCACCTTCTTTGTTACAAGTCCTGATACTTATCCCTGAAGGGGGACGACAACTTCAGTCTAGTCTATTCATCTCTTACTTGCCGATTCTCTGATCCTGTCATCAAATGAGCTAAAACACCTCATTATAGAAAATGTTCCATTTCCAACGTGCCCGGCTGAGTCTATTTTCCACCCGCGGCTGGTCAAAAGTCCCAAGCAAGTCTATCTCAATGAGGGGCTCATCGGTCTTGAGGCTCCCTCGCGGCTTCAAGTTCTCGGACTGCAGGACCAATGCGCCCGCCTTCATCCCTGCCACACGGAAGCCGTCCATGGCACTACTGGCCGAGTAGACCTCATCGAACTTTTTAGACTCCTCCACACGAAAAGAAGCAGCTGAAGGTGAGGGTGGAAGAGGGCTGAAGATCATGAGGGCCCAGCACCCTCTCCAGCGAGCTTTTTTGGGGACCTTATTCACGCCTGGTTTCAATATAGGACGTGTCAGGGATCGTGCTATGCTGAGTTGGAGGGGATGGTTTGTCTTCAAGCTATTCCCTCCAGTTGCACTCCTGATCACAGGGGAAAGTACAGGATGAACCTATGGGGTAGTAAGTGTCGCACTATTCTAACATTGCTACGGTTCAAAAAACCAAAATGGACAATCTGTCCCCTCAAAGGTGTCTAGCAGTCCAATGCAACACAATATGCAAATCTCCTTCCAAAACACCGCAGCGATTTTCTGTGATTGCTCTTCATGATGCATACTCCTCACATGGCACGTTGCCCCATGGTCGGCAGAAGAAGCGCGTGCCATTGGCGCCCCATGGGTGTTTGCCCTTCAAACGGTAATGGGAAGCTTTGTGGGCCCATGGGCCTTGAGAATCGAATCCAACTTTCCCGTTCAAGCGCATATGATGGAAGCTAGCGAAGACATGTGGTTCAGAGTTCATGAATTTTGTCAGACCCTCACTCATTATCGGACTACTTGAGTGAATTCTGTGATGCAATATCGCTCAATATCCATCAGTCAAATCACTTCTGGAGTTAGGCACCTCCGCAAGGGTTCCGACCAACTCGTCTCCTCACCCAAAACTCTGGCCAGTTCCAAGTGGCATGTCTCTTGACTTCCTCTATCCCTAGTCCTATTGTGTCAGATGGAGTCTTTGAAGTCCGGATTTGTTCCGCTGACTCTTTGTGAGTTTTGGTTTTGGCAGTTTGTGTACCCGTCCTTGGCGACCTTGGCCGGAGAGGCATCGTCTTCCCAGGTCTTCTTGCCAATCTTGATGTCCAACGTGGCCGTGGGACCCACCAGTCCAGCCTCACCCCGACCAGTCCGTGACGGTCCGATGACGGTCAAGCGAAAAGGGTGGGGAACTCAAGTGGCCTCTCGGCCTCTCTCCGTGACTTGGGTCCGAGGCCAAACAAAATACACACACACATGGATGTATAATCACACATATATATATATATGTTATAATCGTATATAATCGTATGTGTATATATACATACATACCTGGAACCTCAAATGATCACCGTCTTTGGAGTGCCAATCAGTTTTGAGACGCCACAGGGCATTGATTGGAGTTCTGTTTTTGGGTGTTTGGCTAAAAATATCAACCAATCAAGGACTGCTTTCATTATGTGGAAACCTTGCCGGAGATGAGCTGGAGACACCCAAATGCTAAAAAACACGACTCTCCATTTAAAAACATGACGCAAACGACTAGAAGCACAGCACAAACAACTGGAAACACAACACCGTTGTGTGAGCCACCTGAAACAACAACCAAAAAAGACGCAAACGATCAACAAAACGACGCGAACTCTCGACTTGTGGCGCCACTTTGGTGCTTTTATTCAAAACACTTTGGAATGCCTGGAGTGCCCTTTGTGACACCAGCACACAGGTTTTGGATTCATTTTTTGGTGGTCTATCAAAAAATCTAAAGCAACTAAATTTTGGTAGGTGTTCCAGGCTCCAGGTGTATATATATAGATAGATAACATACCATAAATAAGTAAATATGTACATATGTGTGTGTACATCAAGCCGAAGAGCTCGGTAAATACTCATTTCCAGCTGAGCAATGCGAAACATCTAGCATCGTCTCCGACAAATGTCAGTTCTGGAAGGGTAGTCATCCAGCAGGCCCTGTTCAACTTCCGTGGTTGTTCAATTAAAGACTTCTAAAGTACAACAATGTACAACATCATACCAAACTAGTCTGAGTCTAGTAGTCCAGTGACCGACATTTTGGCTGAAGAAACATGTATCCACCAAGCTGTCGGACTCTCCAGTTTTGAAATGGTCAACCAGATTCAACCAGTCAACCTGGAGTGGATAGAATCTGGAACAGCCCTCAACTTGTGAAGTAAATATTTGTAAATCACAAGCCTGGCAGTGCGGTCAACACAAAATGAAGAGAATAACCGCCGGCCTGGGTCATGCTAAACTGCTGCTTTGGATGGCAAGATCTCGAGAAATACCCACAGCCATGTCATCCATTGAACGTTTTCAGACTTGAACATCTTGAGAACAGTATAGAACAGTCATGTCTCCTAGCTCCTTTGGCTAACTCTTGCTCCAGGCGACGTAGGCACTCTCGAGCTCCATGTAGTCCACAGACCCCACGGATCGGACGCCGTGGAACTTGGATAAGAATGGGCCCAGGGAGGAGCCTTAGTCGTGGATGCATGACCCCCTATCGTGCCCGTGGTGCCCAAATGAACATGCTCTTCGGCTTCGACGGGCCATGTGACTGGCGCTGAGCTAGCGTCGTGCACATGATCAAAGATCTGCCTGGAAACGATACGCTTTGGAAGATTGCAAAACTACTTCTTTTTTTTTCCGGATGGTAAGTGCAGTCATTCTTCTCAAATTCTCCTTCAGCGAGTCTTCTTTGCGATTTTGCCAAGCTCATTCAACAATTCTCTAATGTGTTAGAAGCGAACGTTAACATCCCCACCCCACCCCACCCCACTCAAAGTCAGTCGGACAGTGTAGCGTAGCAAAGAAGAGCTTCTAATGGTGTGCACACTTTTAAGCGAACGTTAACATCCCCATCCATCCCACCCCACTCAAAGTCAGTGGCACAGTGTATTGTAGAGTATCTACAAGTAATGTATTGGTGTGCACTTAGACAGCATGCAAGAAAAAACGGTGAAAAGAGAAAACATATTGCCATACTTCACTATATACATGCGACAAAAAACATGAACATCGCAAGAAGACCGCAGGGGTCGGTCACCAGCGGTCTTGGATGTAGGTATCTGTAGGTGGTTGAAGAAGTGTGAGAGCGAAGTAGCGAGGATCGCAGTGAAGTTTCTAAAATGTGTTGCGAATGCAGGACACAAACACATCAAAAACCATGTCCTCGTCATGCCAAGCGTTCTTCTTGGTTCGTGGGCTCTTAGCTCCAATCTAATGCTTGCAGCAATGGATCCCGAACCCCCGAAAATAAAGGGCCACCTGTGATTCCAAAGCCTAGGGCCTAGCTAAAAAGCAAAAACCTAGGAACTACTAGGAATCTTGCTTAATGTTGACCCTTGATGAATCAATTCTCCCCAAAGGTTTTTAGATGTAGAGCTGTCTGTCCTAAGACATTTTGTGGAACATCTCCAAATCTCCACAGGGCACCAGCAACCCTGGAGCCTGGTACCTCTGACTCTCTGGCACCAAGTCTCTGCCAAGCGCTTGGTACGCCAGGACCTCTCTAGACGCGTACCTCGTGCCCGGAGGAGGTAGTAGCGTTGGGGCTGGATTGGGGTGATGCCAACACCGTCTTTTTCTTTCTTAACAGGTTGGACTTGGACAAGGATAGAAAAGAGAGGAGTCCCCCAAATGTTGCACCCCCAGGTGTAGTGCTCTAGTTGAAGTCACCCATGCCCAGCTGCCTGTCAGCTTCATCCACAGGCTTCAGGATCCTGGCAAGCGGGCTATGGTGAGTCACCTGGGAGGAAGTCATGCGAATACTGGTTAGGTTGACAGGTCAACATTGCTAACAAACCCTTCTCAACCAAGGTGGACCAGGCCTTTCGGTTGACTCCGTTTCTATATTCGAGACTTCATATTTGGGTGATTGCTCTAAGCTATAGGTATAGTTAGCTAGGTCCATGTGTGGGAAATCATCACTGCAACAAGTAGCGGGATGACCCAACTTTGTGCACCGGATCACTCAACTTTGTGCACCGATGCCGTTGAAACCGTTTAAGCAACGTTTCGTCGTCTGTTCGTGGTACCAGTCCTGGTGCCCTCCTTGTTGGTCATCATCGGCCTTGGATTTGTTGATCTGGGGACTTCGAATGTGTTCTCAGCCCAATGAAGTAGACAAGAACATTGGTCTGATGTGGCACACATCTGTGATAAAGCTTGTGAGTGTCTTCCGGACATCTGTCCTTTGAGCGTCTAAGTTCCACAAACGACACAAACCTATATATCACAAAAATGACCTGAAACAAGGATCCATGGGAAGCATCACAGACTTCGCACCATCAAGAAGTGATCCTTCACACGAATGGCACTCAACCTTCGATCCTTTGAGCTCCCACATCCGCGAGCGGCATCCAAGGAGCTCATGTGCGCCACCCGCCTTTTCTCCCAAGATCAGCCACTCCGTTTCCTCCGCGGTACTCCCCCAGCTCCACATGGCTTTCGGCTTTCGGGACCGCTTTCGACCGGTCAAAGGCCCGATGATGGAAGGGACGTTCTGACGTGGGAATGGTTTTGAAGACCGAACCAGTCACGGTTTTGAAGGGAAAAGAAGAAGGAACCCGAACCAATCACTTGCAGCACTTGACTCTGTATGATTCTTGCGGTGGTGGGTTAGTTGTCAGCTTAATTTATTTGCCTTAACATCTCATGCGATGATCTCATACATTTTGATTTTTGTAGGGCTTTTGCTGCTTCTTCCATGAACCCCCTCCTAGAAACAATGACACCGCGTACCTTAGATCTTATTGGTGAGCGCGGGGGAATGTTCATACAGTGAACAGAAGTACGTGCTGGTTCTGGGCTGATTCCAACAAACCTAGAGCCACAACGAAGCAACTGGGGTGGCTGAAAAACAACTCAACTTTGTTAAGCGAGGCCAACAAACATGATGTTTTTTGCACGTGTTGTCACGTCTCTGTTATTTAATTATGATGAGTGCCGATCTCAGAGAAAAAGTGTTCCATGATGCTTGGATCACCGGGCTCAAAAGCGGCGTGGCCTTTGGCGTTTTCGGCTGCAGTGGCACCTTTTTACACTCGACCGCTTTTCTGAAGGATTTCTCGGTCCTCTTCTCTGGCCTAAGCTGGCGAAAGCTGGGCGAAGGTCAGCCAATGCGAGGGTCGCCCAAAACAGTGACGAAAAGCTGAGGAAGAAGCTCTCCAGTCGGGGTGCGATGATGTTTTATGGGCATGCCCTGGGATTTTCCGAGTTTATATACCACCCTCCATGCTTAAGAGGCCACCTATGAGATGCCATGGATTGCGCCTGGCCATCCACCGTCGCCCGGTCGTCCGCCCTCGGCCAGCTTCTGCCGGCTGCTTCGGCCCCAGACGTTAGCAACGACAAAGTGCGCAAATCGTGTAGCCTGAGGAGACGGCGGGACGCGGGACGTCGGGTCGATCTCGTAAGGACGAAGGATTCCATCATGGACCCACCCATTGGCCCATGGTACCTCATAGTTATATATATATATATATATATCTCCGCATATACATATCCATAAACACAAGTATTTATGTAACAATGCACGTGTGTCTACAGCAAATTGACGCAGGGAGAACAAGGGAGTCTCATGGTTTCAACCTGGTGTAGGGTGAGAAGTCCATATGAAAAGTGCATGTAGGATGATTCTTTTCGAGCATGATTAATTTTTGCAGCTCATCCAAAAACAAACAGGCTTCCATGGTTTGTCTCAAGTTGCCGAGACAATGCTAGACTACTAGAATCTACTAGACTGCTAGACCATGTGGGTATGATGCTGGGAGTGCGATGTGGACACAAGCACTCGGCTCTTTTCAACATTAGACCCAACCAGTTCAGCAAGTCCTACGGTTGCGGCACTGGTCTCACTCACATGCTCATGACACTTAATACGCAAACATGCATACATTAGCCTGTAAAAAATATAATATAGATATATATATATAGAGATATATATAAAAGAAAGAAAGAAAGAAAGAAAGAAAGAAAGAAAGAAAGAAAGAGAGCTCCGGCTTTCCAAACCACCCCTGTCGTTCTTCTCTGCTAACAGTTTTGGGACCCATCCCCTTTTCCTACCAACGGACACCACCCGTCTTCTCCCGCTGGGCTGGGTGTTCCGACCGAGGGCCGTCGCAATCGTGGAGCCACAGCCTCGACGACGTGAAGGGCTTCGGGGCTTCGGTCGCTACAGTGAAGGGTCTTGTCATGTCTTGACTTCTACGGAGACACTCAGGGGCTCCTGGCCTTACTACTAGGAGCAAGGACGCTACTAGGGGCTCCTGGCATCGCTACTAGGAGCAAGGACGGTACTAGGGGCCTTTCTCGCTACAAAATATTAAGACGGCAAGTCACTGAGTGTCTCTGGTGGAGAAACCCTTCAGACTGGGCTGAACATAGGTCGAGCAAACCATTTTAGTCAAGGCATTCTCTCCTGTCTTCTTCGCGCAAACATCACCACCGATAAACTTGGGCTCTCCAAATAATGGCAACGGCTTGTGACATTGTGAGGAAAGGATTGCAAGACTAATAGAAATATCAAGAAGACGTAAACATCTGATGCATCGATATTATATGCATGGGAAAGAATAATCAGCTCAAGCTTCCCTGCTCCAAGACTTTCGACTTCAGGCTTCCCAAACTTTAGAAAAGATTTCCCTTCGACATGGTGGATCCCCAAAAAGCGACGTCACTGGGCTCCCAGCGGTGGCAAATGGGCTCGGCGCTGCCCGTGCGATCATTCCGCGGCCGCTTGCGATCCTGACAAACAAGTTCCGGGTGGATGCTTCCCAACATGGACGGGGAACAAATCGGGTTGTTCAAATGGTTTTCGAGCAGGCCCTGTTCTCCCTGTTTGTTAGAAGGTAGAGTGGCAGTGAAACTTTCTGAGAGGAGCTCATCACAATTCGCTCCCCAAATGACCCGCTTAAGGGATCCGAAGCTTTCACCCAGACCGAAGCTTTCAGGAAGACACTGCCCCAAAAACACACACACACACAACAATCAGGATTTTCCCATCCCATTAAATAGCCGTCCAGGGTCTTACATAATGCGCATCATGAATCTCCCAAGAATGGCACACTGCACAGGGCGTCGGAATTCGACCAGGTCTGAGCCCCGGGCAGCGCCACCGCCACCGCCATCCTGAAAGGAGAGGGCATCCGGTTCGACCGAGTGTGTCGATGGAATTTCTGAACGGCATCGACCCCCTCCACTGACCTAGATAGAAGAGATTCCATCTCCCTCCCTCCGCCCCCTCCACTGTAGAGATACAAATGCATTGGACGGAAGGAATCATGCTTTGAGTGAATCCTTTTTGGGATGCCTTGGGCAGTGTTTCGGCCCTTTTTGGACCTTTTGGGACCCCCCCAACAGGGGAGGCACCATGAGGCACCATTTGTCCCGCAACGTCCTGGTACTGTACAGGGTGCTGTCTACGAGGTTGCTGCCCAATGGTGCTTCTCACCTGTACAGTACCATGTGTATAAGAGCCCTCATGATGATTCCTGATGTATACTATATTATGTACTTAAGATATTCGGTGACTTGAGCCAAGCTGGAAACTACCAAGAAAATGGGTCGAGCAAATGTTTCTTGATCGCCCTGTGGAACACCTCCTCGCACCATCGCCGTATGCAACCAAAAAGGAACCGGAGGATCTTGGGCGACCGTCGCACGGTGATCCGAACGAACCAAGCGGAAGGAAGCCGGTCGCAGTCACGCTTTCTCCTCCGCTCGCACTCTCCTCCGCTCGACGGCCATGGTTTCCCCGGGTCGGCGGGGCCGGGGCGTTTGCGCCCTCGCAGAGGCTGCACACACCGAGCCGATCCCAAGCAACCAAGGCATCGTGACAGTGACAAGTGTTGGGTTTGAATTGTCTTCTCTTCCTAGAACTCCAATGACCTGTCATTGGATGATGGTGCTGAGTAGGGGGCTGACAAATAGTAACATCTATTACAATATATATATACACCCTGGAAGTCAAAAACATGTTAACATGTTTTTAATTGTTGATCTGGTTTTGTAGTCTAAAACCCTAGGTACAACAATGGTGGTTCAGTAAAGGCTATTATAACAATGGTGGTTCGACTTCTAGGGTATTATATTGTTTAATATGTACCAACTGCCCAGTAATTGACTTGTATATGAAAACAAGGTGCAGCCACCCAGCCCATAGAATCTCCCAAGAGGTGCTCCTCTGGAGGTTTCATTGGTGGTTTCAAGTGGTGAGCTTGACGATGAGAACATTGGAAACCGATCTAAACGAGTGGTTCAAAGCTGTGAGCCGACCCACCCAGGAGCCTAACCCAACTCTGACGTGTTCGGATCTGAACGCCCAACATCTGCAAGGTTTGAGTGTGCGGGATGTATCATGAATCATGATGGATTCACCACCATTCAATGCATTAGTATCACCAAGATCTTTGGGGCCTTGTGTTTGCATTCAGATGTACATACTCCATGATTCACATCACCTATGAGCCGAAGGCACTGGCTTCGAAGCCGCAGAATTCGCCTCTCCGTCCGCAGCCCGCGACGCCCCACCGTGGACCGAGCGAGCGCAGGAGTGGACCCCGGTGCAGAAGCGACCGGACATCGCTGACATCAAACCACTGGCATTGGAGATCAAGGTCTTGTTCCAATTCTTATCGAGTTTGTTCCTTCAGTTTGGCCCACTCCGCGGCCTTTTCTCCGCGGTCTTTTTCCGCTCTCGGTCCTCTCTCCCGTGCGGTGGCGCCCTCACATCAGGGCCCTCCATTACACTTCGCTAAGGCCTCCTCCGTGAGATATCTCGCCGCAGCGATGGCATCGGCCTGGGTCCGAGTATTTGGAGGATTTGGGCCCCGTACACGTGGCCCTTGGTCAGTGGGCTCTTTGTAGGGCTTTCTGAGGAAGATTTAACACATGAAGAACGAATCTGTGCAATCCGGAAAAACATGGCTGAAAGGAACGGTTGTTTTCTTCAGAAACGCACATGTCACATCTACACAGCTGTAGGGACCAAATTGTTTGCTCCGAGCAATCCCCCATCACCCAGGTGCGCTGGTAGCATGACTGGCTGGGCCACCGTGCGTTGCGGTTATGTTTGGTGTTGTCACATGTTGCTACTGTGCCATTGATTGGTGTCTGTCAATGTCTGTCATGTTTGTCCTGGTGGTAATGGTTGGTGTTGCCGTTGTGTTGTGTCGTTGCTTGCCGTCTGTTGTAGTGTTTGTCCTTGTATATGTTTCAGGTGTTTGACTTGGTGTTTGTACTTTTTTCTTTGGTGTTGCCACATGTTGCCGCCATGTGCGTCAACGTTTTTGGTCTGTCTCGCCCAGGCCGGACTGGCCAGTGTGGCACCGGTCAGTGGCCCCGCCCCTCGGTCCTGGCCTCCTCCCCGGGGGCGATGACCGGTGGGTTCAGAAGGATCCGCACAGCCTCGTCCGCATCCTGGCGAGGTGGAGGAGTTGGAGACGAGAGGTGATGGGCTTTGAACATCTTCTCTATTGGATTCATGGAGAGAGATGGAGAGAGAGGTGATGGAGGAACTCCTCCAAGTCGTGCACCTGTCATCTTTTGAACATCTTCTGTCGCCTCATATGCGCCGAATGGGGACCGGCAGCACCGGGAATTGGGGGAAGACACATAGATGCCAAGCAGCCTCGCAGGTAAGACCCCACTGGTGATCGAATGGGAGGCCTTGACCCATGGATTTTCGGAACATTCTTGTTTTGTAATATGTTGTGTGGAAGATGGAACCATCTTGAGCAAATGTCGAGACACTAAGATCACTAAGTGGCGCCTTGAGGCCGGGGACACGGAGACCAAGAAAGAGCTTAGAGGTTCCTTCTTGGTACGATGGGCTCATGGCCACACCTCTGTACAGCTCTGCCAGCACTGGGTTGCCTACCGGGACATCAAGCTGAACGGCCGGCCAGTGCCAACATGTGCCAACCCGTTGGCATGCCACCGGGGACAGCGCCGAAAGGGAGCCATGCTCCGTAGCCCGTAGCCCCCATGACTGCCCAAAGGCGGAAAATCCAAGTAGCTGCTTGTTGCTAGTAGCGATGGCCTCCAACCTAATAACGATGGCCTCCAACCTAGTAGCGATGGAATCCAACCTAGTAGCTTCTCGCTTCTAGTGGTAAGGTGCCTCGTTTCTTCTGCGGTCCTTCTCGGTGATGCAGTGCTTGGGATTGGTCAGAACGGAGCGATGCCTGAGAGAGCGATGCTCGCGGTTCGGTTCGAGCGACGAGATGGGGCCTGACCATGCCCAGGGGGTTCCCTGGTGGGGGCGGGTTCAGAATGGTCCAGAACGCCATGGATGGGGATATATGGGGATATACTTAGCATGGAAATCCAGGATGGATCATGATGGTAACCTCTCTGCCTTAACCGACAAAAAATGGCAAAATATCTCGAGCCCCATCCTGTCGCCATCATCCATCTCTATAACACAAGGAATCATTTAGCACGATCTGATGTCAAGGAAAATGTGGCCTTCCAGTGTGCATGACGTGGGCGCCTCTCGAAAATGGGACCCCGACCAGGACGCACAAATTGTGCTCTCTATAGTGAGAATTGCAAGTTCAAAATGTTCCTGAAGTCCGGTAGAACTTTCTGAGGTTCTCTCAGTTCTCTCTCATTCACTGAACCCCGACCTCTCTCTACAGTTCTGCAGAAGTCCGGTAGAGGGCACCATGTTCAGAAATCCAAGCGTCCCAGCGCACCTGGTTTGGGGACCATGACATAAGCAAACGGCCAATATACACCCTTGGTTGGGGTTGGGTAGAGTCCGAATCCATCTACAATTTACAAATCAATTGAAGCCCATTTTCTCTTTCATCATGGTGCCCCAAAGGCCAACAAGGTTAACAACGTGTTGGAGGAACACTCCCCTAGTAACTAGCAAACACGCATAAACCATGTCCTTCTTACGTTACAATGAAATGTTTGGTGGGTTTCTCAACCACTATAAGATATGGATGATACTTCATTGACTTCCTTTGGGTGAAACGTGACCCCGCCCGACCCAATGTGACCCGCCCGACCCTGCGGGAATGTGCGTGCGGATGCGAGCGGCTTCATGAGAGGCGTCCCCGGGACCTTCACGCTATCCGCCCAGCTGAAGTCAATGTCATCAATCGCCACCCAGGCCTCGCTGCACTCAGGCCATGCAGGTGGTTTTCGGTAATCGCTGAGTTGTATGGACATTTTTGGTCGGTCAAGGCCCATGTTGAGACACTATTATGGTATAGCATATGTTTAATATATATATATATAATTTCCGGCCTTCCACGTGCTGTTCATACACTTTTTGGCTAGTGCCGGGGATGTAATTCAAAACGCAAAACACATGGTTGTGCCAAAACACCTCGCGGGGTGGTGGTCACCCTGACAGAAACAATTAATTGAATTAACAAACAATACATCCGGTTGTGATTCTGATTCTCAATGATTCACGATCTTGTCAAAGCAGGTTGGAAGTGGACAAAACCCAGATTGTCAAGGAACTGGGTTTATATAAAGTTTTTTTTTTTTTAATATATAGAGAGAGAGAGAGAGACAAAAAGAGAGAGAGAGAGAGAGAGCGAGGGGGCGGGAAGACTTGGTGGCTTGATTTGCCAACATATCACCGGGAGAATCTGACCCAACATGGGCCTTGACCTCCTTGTGCTGCTTCAGCCAGCTGCCAATCTCCCGCGCCCGGCGTTCAGCCCAAATGATGGCCTCCCGGCGTCCAGCTGCCGTGAACTCCACGGAAAGGAACCCCTCAATGCACTGGTGCTTGTGACGCCCACTTAGGGCCCAGTCCAAAAGAACCCAGCTAATTCTTTCCCAAACACGACCCATGGGACTGGTATATTTACCGATCAGTTGGGGTGGTTTGGGGGGTCAATTGATCGGCATATATGGCAGTCCCATGGGTCGTGTCTTGGTATAGCATGTTGTCGCCTGGACTCCGGCTCCCCTCGAAACACGCACGCCAATACCTTCTCAGGTTTGTCTGCCAAGCTTTTGTGTCTGCAGTGATCCACATCATCATTGGTTTGTTGCCTGAAGTTCACCCAGCGACAAACACCTTGAACCTGCATGAAATCCGAACTGTCTTGTTTGTTTGAAAGTCTTGAGCATTGAAAAGGGCCACATTATGTAATGCACATCCCTTTAGCCTCTGTTCTCATGGACCAAAACTAAAGGGGATCTCCGTGGTCAACTGAACCCCAAGCCCAGCAAAGGTCATTCATCCGGTGAATCAACATCCTGGAGTTCGCAGGCTCTCCTTTGTGTTTCCGTTCGTGAGGCAGATTTTGGGTATTTGGGATGTCTTTTGGCAGCGTCGATGTCCTTCTGTGCTGCTAGCAGGAGTGGAACCAGGAGCTGGGAGAGGTGGATCTGCCAAAGCTGACAAGATCTTACAAGGTTAAAAAGATGTGGCAGTATGCGAGGTCCAGGATTGCTCCAAATAAGGCGACGCATTTGGCAACTCTGAGTTGCGTTCCCCAGTGCAACTGCAAGCCCAAACCAACTAGGCACACGCCGGAGACAGCCCTGGCAATCCATGTTGCCACCCTCAGCTCCATTCCCCAAGGAAAATTGTGAGTGCATGACAGTTTCTTCACATAACTTCTTTGAATACTATGTGTTTGAATATGTTTGAATATGGTATTCCACTATTTATCATGCGCAAAGGTACAGGAGTGACTTGGAGAAAACCAATGTAGCTAATAAAGTTACGTATTTTCCCAAAGGTCTCCGACTTTGTCCTCCAAACATTGGGTGCATTCCTTTCAATTAGCCCTTGGGACCATGTCCAACTTGCCAAGTTCGGGACACGTGTTGGTTTCAAAGCATGCTCATAAAACCACCTCTCCCCAATCCTCCCCAGCCATCCCCTGCACGTGCGTGCCGTGCGGCCTGATCCAAGCGCTGCTTGATCAACTCGGCTGAGGGCTGGAAGATCGGCGTTGAGTCCTGGAAGCCCGGGAGATCCTGCGGGGTTTCGCCGCTGCGAGTCGACTCGTAGCGGCGAGCGGCGAGGATCCGAAGAGGCGAGGAAGAGGTTGGTTTGGCTCCCGTTCTCGGGATTAGTTTGTCTGGTGGGTGCGGCTGCTTCTCGGGTGGGTAGGTGAATTTTGCTGGAGAAGATTGAGCACGGAGACCTCCTGGCAAACCCCAAAGGCTGCAAGCTACATCAAGAGTTTATATAATATAGAATGCAGCTACCAACCAGAATCCGTAGGGCTTCAAACACCCAACGCAGATTTGATCTTGGAGACCTGCACGTGCTCTGGAAGGGTTCATGTGAAAACTGGCCATTAGTCAGCGGAATGTCGACATGATGCCACGATGCCACTACCAGGAGCAAACCTTTTCGCACCCCACCCAAGGAGATCAGAACCGGAACTATACGTCGTCGTGCGTGCATCGCGTTTCGTCTTTGGGTTTCACCGGACTGGTGTGCTGATGGAGGCACGCTTCCCACGCACCTGGGTCATCAATGTCCTCCTGATGTTATCCCTCATCTCCTGGATGCGCCAAGTGGAGCATCTTCGGCCGAACCAAAAATCAGCTTCGACCCTCCGGTTGGAGCTCCAGGGCTTCCACTCACTTTCACGGCGTCCTTGAAACCAAAGTGGACATCCTGGCCCCCTTTTGGAAGAACTCAGCATTTTCCTCGAGCACATTTTTGACCAAGAGCTTTGAACTTCCGTCTTTTAGAAGGATGGAAGCTATCCCCAGTCTTCGAAACTTATCAAAGGAATCAAAGGAACGTCCATCATGAGCCTCGGGAGTCACCAAATATAAGGACAGCGACCATGGAACTCACCATGGGCCCTTCTCCCTCCCAGGAAAAGCTCGGTCCGATCAGTTCAAATCCATCCGTGGCCAGAACGGCTTTTTAATGTTTTTTTCCTTCCCACTCCGGTCCCGGCGTCCGAGTCGAGTTCACCGATGGTCACGCGATCCCGCGGATCCCCCCAGTGGATTCAGAACGACCCCAGGCGGCCGAAACCCAGCGGCCAGAACGACCCAACGACCCAAAGGGGAGGCCGTTCGTTTCTGAAGAAAGACGCCTTTTTGCATCCCTTTTTCTTGGAGCCTTTCAAATTCACCACTCTTCCGGCTTTTTGGGAACCCCAGCACCCCCACTCTTCGTCTCACGAAATCGCCGGACCTCGACCGACTCGCCGGTCCGGTCGGTCGCGCCTCTCTCCGTCGCCACTCAGAGGAGACCACGATGGTGGCACCGGTCCTTGGCACATCGACCCACCGGCCAAGCCGATCCATGAGGGTGTCAACCCTGGGCATGTATACCCGGTCACCGACCATAAGACCATTGAAAGAAGGGGTTGAGTGGGTGGTGTAGTGCAAAATCCTTAGTAACACAAGGGCTCTTTGGTAAAGACCATTATAATAATGGTTGTTTGAATCCTAGGGTATAGAGTCAATACACGATATTGAGCCGATATTGGCCCAATAGAATGCCCGATGGGGCATTCCATGTGGCCAATGTACGATCCATTGGGGTATTCCATACAGTTCCATACCACGATGGTGGCCAGCTGGGTCATAAGCTGGAGCCCCTGTCCACCAAGTAGCAATCGACGTTCCAGCCAGCCAGGACATCATCAGGCGTATATCCAGTGATGTCCGGCCGAACGAGAAGAAGAAATAGAGGGCCACCATGAAAACCGGACTTGGTTGTACACGATTACTGGAGCATCCCCTCTATTAATCAACCAAATAGTAGAAGGCCATCTATGGGCATGCCCCCCAGGTGTCAAAGGGGTGGACCAAATGTATCTCTGACTATGTGTCTATCTTAATCTGCCCTTCCATGTCCAGGAGCGTTTCCCCATCGATGCATTGGTGTTGCGAATGGCTCTGAAATGACTTGCATCAAAAGCACCGCAGTAGCACAGCACAGCTCTGCAGGCGCCCCCCCCCGCTTGGCGCTTCGGACCTACTGTAGGACCTATAGGACTATAGGATGACTGAAAACCTCAGACCGGTGGACTCGCCGGTGAGGCAAAGTTCTTCACAGAGGTGGGTCAAAGCACATCAAAAGCAACATCTATTTGGCAGGTGAAAGATTTGGCTCTCCTTGACTGGTCCAAGTCCTAGTCAAAATACTCTCAACTCCCGTTTGGACCTAGACGTTCACAGGTGGAGCAACAAACCTACCCACTCGGCAAAGTCCACACCACTCGGGCGGTATAAAGCCGACTCCACGCGCGAGTCGGAGCGTCTGCTGCACGATGGAGCGGAGGTTGCTCAGGGCCACTCGGCTGAAGTCTGCCTCCTTCGCCGCGCGCACCGGCAACATCACGCCATCAATGTAGATCCTGCAATCTCCCGCGCAGGTGGGGGTGGATGACCAAGCTGTGTCTGCCATAACTTTGGTTGACTTGCTTCACTTTTTCCCAAATGTTTTAGCAAGGCCTGGAAACCATTGCCCGAGTACACAAAAGGTAAACACCACCAACTGCAGGATAGGATTTCAGTCTCACCCAGTGCGGACACCCTTTCCGAAACAAATCAACCAGTTTTCGATTGTGAGGACTCACATGCAATACATGCTCGACCTTTAACACCAAAATGCTTAAGCATAACTTAAGCATGCTTAAGCTATGCCGCGCCTAAAGGATCCCGACAGTAACAACATGTAACATATCATGATATGACATAACCAAGGAAACTCCTATAATCACAGCACATGATGTTTCCAAGTTGTTTTAGATCTGGGGGGAGGTCAAAACAAAAACATCAAGATTCAACGCAGCAAACTCAACGCCGTACTCCCATGAACTATGAAACCTGTAGCAACACCGGGAACCAGCTGACTGAGCCAATCCTTGGGGCCTTGGGACTGGGACAACCACCTCCCATCACCCCCAACACAGTCGAACAGACGCTTGCGACTGCGCACATTTCCACGCTGCCCGCGGGCAGCAAAACGCCATCGACATCGAGGAAAATCACTCGGGACCTTGGTGCACGTGGCTGGATTGGATGGAAAAGGGCAGCGGCTGAAATCACGACCTCCGAACAGTCAGGACAGATTGCACTTCATTGAGCAGCACCCGAGATCCAGGAGACTTCCTAGGTCCTAGGTCCAGGACGTTTTGTTTGGTTGATAAAACACTTCGTTTAGGTCTCCGGTGCGGCGGCCTGCGAAACCCACGCACCGCCGAACGCGCCAAATCACGCCAAGCGTCCGGTCGATGGGTGGCAGCTGCGGCCGGGTCGACGCTTGTTCCGCCTTGCGGGCCTTTGTGGCGGTCGCCTGCAGTCCGATGGGGGTCCGGAAGACGGAGACGAGGACGGAGGGATGCACGAAAGGTAAGACAGTGGGAGGATAATAGAAACATGCAAAATATGCAGTGTGATGTTGGTGGAGTCGAGGCAAACGTCAACTTAAGAGTGGAGGAAAAGACCAACTTTTGATATATATATATATATATTTGTTATATGCTATAGTCCTCAACGACAAGAAGCACTAAAAACAACATGTCCTGTCTCTTCATG